GAGAGATGAGACCATTACAACAGAAGGCTGTAGTATGATCCAGCCGTGCAGTCAGTGGAGGGACGCAGCAGATGTATTGGGACTTTTTATTAAATCACTGACTCATTTGGAGTTGTAAGGAGTCTTTCAAAAGATAAGGGAAAATTTCTTACGGGAACAGTTTTTTTGAAATGGGTCAAAACTACCTATAAAAATGACAGGGGAAGGGGAAAAAAAAAAAAGACAGCAGAAATGATAATTATGGAAATAAAAAAGGAACTAAAAATAGAGTCCCTTAGAGCTGAGTATCGTCAAAACACGCCTCATGAAATGTATCATCAAAGCCGTCAAATCCATTAACCAGGTGAGTCAGCAGGAATTCTTCAGATTATCTATTGACTGCAAATGAGAACGATTCACGCACGAAATCTCGCGCTGCTCCCGACGCTGCTCTCGCGGCGCCACGCCTGCGCGCTCCTACCTGCTGCCACCTGCCTCTGACGGCCGGGTCTCTGACCGAATGACAGTGCCGCTGGATCTGCTGCACGACCCCCTGATAGTAGACCATGGACGAGTCGTAGTTTCCCAGAAGCGCATATTCTCGTCCTTTCTTGGCGTTGTCACAGATCTCCGCCAAATTCATCTTCTCTCAGACCTACACATCCAACAGCAGGACATTTATGTGTTAAGTTTGCAGCACTGACTTCACAACATCTGTCTATAAAATACCCTCAAAGTCTAATCGGTTACCTTTCATTCTTTAAGGCTATCTGAAAAACAAAAACCAAACCCACTGCCACTGAGTTGATTCTGACTCACAGCGACCCCCAACGGGTTTCCCAGGCGGTAAATCTTGACGCCAGGAGACTGCCCAGCCTTGCTTCTGCAGAGTGGCTGGTGGGTTTGAACCGCCAACCTTCTGGTCAGCAGTCAGATGCCTCAGGCACTGTGCCACCAGAGCTCCTTAAGACTACTTGAAACCATCTTATAATACTGAACAGGGTTTCTGACGCTAAAGTTACCAAGGAGATCACAAAAGACGGTACCAGGGAGGAAGGTTACACAGCCTTGAACTACTGGTTTGTGGGGTGGTGTGGTTACTGCTGACGTCAGGTGCTGTGAAGCCGGCTCCGACTCACAGCGACCCCGTGCCCACCAGA